AACATTGACCAACTTGATATGTTCCAAGAGCATGACCCATGTCAGCAGCTTTCTGAAAGTATTCGAACCCCTTCCTCTTGTCCTTCTCGACACCAATTCCGTTTGCATAACAAATACCAACATTAAATGTTCCATCAGCATGATCCATGTCTGCGGCTTTCAGATAATATTCAAACGCCTTATAATCGTCCTTCTCGACACCAATTCTGTTTGCATAACAAATACCAACATTCCATATTCCACTAGCATTATCCATGTCTGCGGCTTTCAGATAATATTCAAACGCCTTATAATCGTCCTTCTCAACACCTATTCCATCTAGATAACAAACACCAACATTCCATGTTCCACTAGGATCACCCATGTCAGCGGCTTTCATATAATATTCAAACACCTTATAATTGTCCTTCTTGACTCTGATTCTGAAATGATAACAAACACCAACCATATACTTTGCACCAGCATCACCCATGTCAGCGGCTTTCAGATAATATTCAAACACCTTATAATCGTCCTTTTCAATACCGGTTCCCTTGTCATAACAAACACCAACCATATACTTTGCACCGGCATGACTCATGCCTGCAGCTTTCTGGTAATATTCAAATGCCTTAGGTTCGTCCTTCTCAACAAAGATTCCTTTATAATAACAAAGACCAAGATTATATGTTCCAACAGCATGACTCATGTCCGCGGCTTTCTGATAATATTCAAATGCCTTGTGACCATCCTTCTCGACACCAATTTCGTTATAATAACATTGACCAACTGCAAATATTCTACTAGCATCATCCAAATCTGCGGCTTTTTGGAAATATTCGAATTCCTTTTTTCGTCCTTCTTGATTCTGATTCCGAAATGATAACAAACACCAACATTAAATATTCCTTTAGCATTACCCATGTCAGCTGCTTTCTTGTAATATTCGAATGCCTTTTCAAGATTACCTCCTAATCGATATTGACTTCCAATAATAATTGCACTATCACTTTCATCAATTTCATTAACTATATTAGTTTTATAATCAACAATATGACATTTTCCAAGTTCGAAAACTCCTTTAATATCATACGAAACTGTTTGTTGAAAATATGGAAAGGCTTTAGTTTCATCCTTGATAATACCGATACCATAACGATAACAATATCCAACCATATATGTTCCTTCAAGTAGCCCTATGTTTGAAGCTTTTAAATAATATTCAAATGCTTTTTCCTCATTCTTTACAGTTCCAACACCATGGTGATTACAGTATCCAACTTGAAATATTCCTAAAGTTTGTTCTTTCTTTGCAGACTTCTGATAATAAATAAAGGCCTCTTCCTCATTCCTTTCAACTCCGATACTATGTTGTAATTGATACCCGAGATTATAATCTTTAAATGAAACGGTATAAGATTGATTCATAATAGTTGAAAAACTTTAGTTGTTTAAAGAAAAATATAGTTTTCATTCAACGAATATTAATATAGTAAATTTAACGGAGTTTATCCACCCATTCTATAGAACATCCAGAAGCGCCTTTTGCCAAAATTATTACGTACTTGCTTAAAGAGGTTCAATTGTTAATATAACTATAGCAACATGCATACATATTGCATAATTCACTGATCCTGAAAAAAAATCATATGATCTATAGGTTAGTAGAATGTCATGTGATTAAATAAATAAAAAAAGATCGCTCAGACTATTATACGTAAGTAACAAGCCTTGTGTGTATTCTACTTCACTATACTCTGAGATACTAGTGATATTGATGAGAGAACAGATCATTACCAAAACTCAAAACATTTTTTGCTATACAGAACGCGCAAGGAACCAAAATGATCTACCACCCGGCAGTCGCACGAACGAGTGACAGGAATTCCTCACATCTCACAGATCACGGGTGCTCATCCCGGTATAGCAAGATCACCAAAAAACTTCCCTGGCGACGGAATCACGTGCACCTCGTTACATGAGATTGTCAGAAAAGTGCCCCGAGTGACGACTGCGAGGTCCTTCTGATAGGGCAAAGTCACGTTTTTGTGTAGCGAGCACTTTTTTGCAGATCTCGTGTAATGTCTTCTCTCATTGGCCGTTCGCGTTTCCGAAACCGTTTGGTCCAATCGCGAGACGAGAAATTCACGAAAATTTTCTTAGGGTTACGCTTTATGACATGATCATCACTCTAAATCCCATTGCATGTCCGGGATCATCAAAAAAATGCTCCGTGTTCTTACGGTGCTGCCTTGCCTTTTATATCCCGATGATCTCCCACAAAAAGTAATTTACGGTGTTACTAAAGTAACACTGTCTACCACAGACTACCTTAAACGTTCGTTCGATTTTGTCCCATATGACGTCTCATTAGCCTTTCGCGAGATATCGGGAGATTTCATATCACATATTCCCTCTCTCACTTTATTCTTCCTCATTCTTTTCCCACTTCATTTTTCTCAGTAAAATGACAGTCTTTTCGACCAGAAATTTATATTTTGATTGGTCTGTCATTGTAATGTATTTGTCGCTAACTCTAAGTTTTGAATGAATGTTGCATCGGTCCAATGACATTAGATCGTAAAATCACAACTAACTAATACATTATTGGCTAGGATTATTATTATGCTTGTATACCTATCTATATGTAAGATGAGATCTCTTATTAAATGTAAAGTTAACAAATTTTCTTGTTATTTGCTCATACCAACATATTAGTGTAACATAGTAACATAATAAATAAATATGAATGCATTTTGTACGTACAACATTAGTTTCTTTACATATGGAAAACGATTATAATGAAATTGTTAACAACTTATGTAATTTGTACAATGAAGATTTAAAGGCAAAAATTCAGACCAAATTCTTGACTTATTTGATAAATTTCTGGAAGAAAAAAATCAGAACTCAGTAGATATCATAAATTGGTGCTTGAATGATGAAATAAATCCTACAGTTAAAGTCATTCTTGCAAATTGTTATCGTATTGGCAAATGGGTTGAAAAAGATGAATGGAAGGCATTTGGATATTATCAGAAAGCTACGGATATGGGTCATGCTGAAAGAACATATGCAGTTGGAGATTGTTATTATCATAGAATTGGAGTCAAGAAGGACGAAAACAAGGCGTTCGAATATTACCAGAAATCTGCAGACATGAGCCATGCTAATGGAGCAAACAATATTGGTTATTGTTATCTAAACGAAATCGTTGTTGAGAAGGACGAAAAAAAGGTGTTTAAATACTACCAGAAAGCCACAGACATAGGTGATGCTGCTGGAACACATAATGTTGGTTATTGTTATCTAAACGGAATCGGAGTCGAGAAGGACGAAAGTAAGGCGTTCGAATACTTTATGCAATCTGCCAATCTGGGTCTTGGACAAGGAATAATCGATATTAGCAATTGTTACAGAAACGAAATCGGGGTATCAAGAGACATTCATCGAGCTAATCATTGGTACCAAAAGGAAAGAAGGATAAAGAAAACGAAGTCATCAGTGTACGAACAAGATATTGATGATGATTTAAAGAAATTATTAGACAATGATCTATATCAACTATCATGGATTCCTTACGATGAATTTAAATTTATAGAAGAAATTGGTAAGGGTGGATTTGCGACCGTATTCAAAGCTTTTTGGCTGATAAAAATAGAAGTAATTATTTATGGGTTGCGCTCAAGTCTGTTGATGGGTCAAATGAAAATTTCAAAGAATTTTTGCAAGAATTGAGATTGTATTGTGAGATCGGGTATGAGAATCCATCGTTTTTGCATTGCCATGGAATATCAAGAGATCCGAATGGAGAATACTTGATCGTAATGAAATATGCTGAAAATCTTTCTCTGCGTGATAACCTTCGTGAAGTATCAAGAATGAAATGGAAAAAGAAATTAAACTTGTTACATTGCATCGCTAGTGATCTCGAATCCATACATTGCCAGGAACTCGTCCATAGTGATTTCCATAGTGGAAATATCTTGCAAGATACATTAGATAGTACGTACATCACGGACTTGGAACTTACAACTGATATGAAATCAGACAAAGAGATAATGGGTGTCTTACCTTACGTCGCTCCTGAAGTCTTACAAGGTCTAGGAATCATGCAAGCAGCAGATATATATGGGCTGGGAATAATCATGACAGAGATAACAACCGTAAACAGGGCTTTTGATAGAATTCCATTTGATATGAAACTATATTTAAAAATTTCTAGGGGAGAACGACCAGAATTTGCACAAGGAACACCAGGTTGTTATATTGAATTAGCAGAACAATGTACAGATGTTGATCCGAAAAATCGACCTACTGCGACTGTCATTAATTATTGCGTCGGTTATTGGCTCTACCAGATGGATAAAAACAACGAGAATGACATTAAGAAACAATTTTTGGATGCCGATAAGATTAAATCAGAACTTGTTGAACCCAAACATCCAACGCATATGTACACTAGCAAGTTAATTCCTTACACTAAACTGATTTCTGATATTGATAGTAAATTACAAGATTTAACTATAAGTGATACTTTAAACGATAATTAAATTTACGAATAATATGGTATTTTAATTATGATTATGATTTATTTATAAATGTTATGTGGGATTATTATCTAAGAAATTTTTATGTTTAAATAAATATAATTTAAATATGTACAATTTTTATTATTAGTCAAGTTAACCCTCGCCCTAACCCTAAAATAAATGAAATTAAATACGTTGGTTATAAAAAGTTAAATTCAATAAAAAATACTGTATTTTCAAATATTTCATTTCTTGCATAAAATATTAATTAGCAAATTCGGGACGGAAACTATATTCACGAATTTGTTTAAAGATTTTAGCAGATATGTGATTTAATTACATAATCATGTGATAGTTTTATTTGTAACGAATAAATAAAAATGTAGTAGTATTTTTATTAGTTAAAGTTAAAAGATTAGAGACTTCTAAAGTCTTAAAACAAACATTAGACATAATCTTATGTATTTTAGTAGTAAAATGGTAGTTGTCCTAATAAAAATAAGAATTACTATCTTTAACACAACTTGTTTGACTAGTGTTAATAATATCATCATTATAATCGAGTTCGTAAATATTTGTCACCACATCAATACAATTTATGATTCCAAAATCAGTTTGTAATATATTAAAGAGTCTATCGCATCTTATATGCATAATATTTACTTTTGTCTTACTACTAAATTTCAATAAATGTTCTAATAAACATTTATTATGCAACCCAATCATCTTTGAAATTAGTTTTCTCTCTGTTTCATTCACAGTTTTAAAAGCTGGAACACAAGATATATCAGGAAGATTCAGTATCAACAATGACGATACTGTAGGAATAGACTTTACGAGAAGATGGAGTGCATTGATCAAGGATTTAACCGAATCGAGTGGTGATATAGACATATCGGAAAAATAATAATCATTTCCCGTATCCCATATCTATAATTAGCAAGTTAATATTGTAAACTATTATTTAATACATGAAGTATAATACATACAGTAAATAAAGTTTTACTAAAATCTTTAGGGTTAGATTGTTCAGAGTTATTAGCAATAAATGTTTCAATCTGTTGTTTAATACCAGGTGAATTGAATTTATGATTCTTTGTCCCAGTAGAGCCTTACACGAAATCACAACTATTAAATTGTATTAATATAACATTATATTAATAAACACAACTCAATATAATTTACAATATCCTACTCAGTTGTTGCTCCGCCAAAGGCATAATTAATTAATTCTAATCCTAATTTATTAGCAAGATACTCAATCCACACCTTTCTATTACAGAAACGACCATTATGATTAGTTTTTGATAGCCATATTTTATTGGTTAATTTATAAATATTTCCGGTATCTAAACAAAAAAGTTAACAAATATAATTAAACATCTCAATATTCAGCATTAAACAGACCAGAGAAAGAGTCTCCAAAAGCAATGATATTATCATATTTTTTAGATTTTAATGACATATCAAATAAACATATATCAAATGCTTTTAATTTATTTTTTACGAATTTATAAAATAACTAACAATGAATATAATAACGTTTATTTAATGATAAAATCTCTTTCGCTTCTTCTCTCATCACAAAGTCTAGCTAAAATTACGGTTCTACCTCATTTCCATCTTTAATTTTTTTACATAAATGACACAACTTATGATAATGAAATTTATTGTCCGTAGAATTGAACTATGGACAATACTCATCATCTTTACACTTTTTGTTTACAACTTTGTATTCAGTAATGCTAACAAACTTCATGCAATAATCACATATTCTACGCCATTTATCGT